GTGTACCACCCCAACGCAGGGATAAAGATGCCATTATTTCACATGATTGGTATATATGAAGTTTCAAGAAATACAAGACGCAGCATCTGTTAAACCTTGTACATAAAAGCCTCTCATTATCGCATACCACAGAAGGGACATGACTGAGATTTCTGAAGCAAATGTCAATGTGAACCAAAAAGCAGACGATCATGACCACGAGCATGAACATTTTCACGACCATCGTGTCCATGACCATTCCCGTCGTCATAGACACAGTCATGGTCACAGCCATGAGCACGATCACCACCACGAGCATCACCACGGACACACACATGCTGGCGAGGGAATGGTGACTGACAGGCCCGGAAAATATAACGAGTATGATTTGTTAGAGGAACGTAAGAAAAGGAACGAAACAGACGATCCCGAAGTTGAAGAGGTATTTTTATGTTGAAGGATTTTAAGGCAGGAAATTTTGGCATCTAATTTTATTTGATCATATTCTCAAGTATTTCAAAGCAAAAGAATTGTTTACGAAAGGATATGAACTTGCTTCTAAAATTCCGGATAATTCAGAGGAAGAAACTCTGAAAAAATACGAACGGGAAATTTTTGAATCCACACAGTACCTCGTCGAGGCATTTTTGTTAGACGACAAGGCGACAGAAATGTCATCCAGGATCATGTCGCTTGCTCAACAATATGAAAAACTCTTAAAGTTAGGAGAGGATAGCGAAAAAAAAGAGATCGAAGAAAAGGTTGTAGAAATTAAAGATGAGGAAATATCGGAGCAAAAAAAAATCAAAGATTCTCACGCATCTGCCGAAGAAGCTGACGCCTCTGAACCAGAATTCACGAGAGAGTAAGTTTGCGAGATGTGGTCTATAGTAAGAAAGAAGAAACATTAACAAATTGATTAATCCTTCTTCTGAATAAGGTCTCTCATATTGGTCATTTGGCTCCTTTTCAATGGCAAACAATATAAATTTTGTATTCAAACTCTTACCGTTGCTCTTAATCAACTTGAACCGGCCCTCTACCCACGCCTCCTCCACCTCCGCGCTTCGTGCCATCTTGCCATTGGTGATCACAAATCGTGCGTGAAAGATCTCGAGCGGTTGACGTCAATTAAGTCCGATTTTGTTAGTGCATATAACATTCTAGGATCCATACACATGTCACAAGGAGATAGATTAGATGCCGCACGTAATTTCAAAATATACATTGAAAAGGCAAACAAAGACTCATTGTCTTACTCTCACGCTCTTTACTCTCTGTGTGCACTTACGATTCAAAATGCCACATCCGCTACAACAGGGAATCGTCTACGTATCCAGCAAGCATTCAATTATTATCAAAAAGCCAAAGAAGCGGAAATTAGATACGAAAATCTTTATGGTCGAAAGCCTGAGATGACCGATGTTAAGCGTACATCGGACGCATTTTTTGAACAGAAAAGTCAAAAAGAGACCACCACTACCACCACCAACACCAACACCAACAATAATAATAAAGTGGAAAAGGATTCCAAAAAGGAGGCCGAGAGGTTGGCTCCGATTTTGCAGCAGTTGTTTAAAAAATGCAACCATTGTAATAGTCTCTCGAGGAAAAATGAAAATGGGGAGGTGAATAATGAAAAATTGTTGGTCTGTGCTGGATGCAGGCAAGTGAATTATTGTTCCAAGGAATGTCAGAAAAAAGATTGGAAAAAACATAAACAACAATGCGCATACTTGAAAGAAATGACCAAAAACAAATAGAATTAATTTGATAGTACTCCGAAATGGGTTATTTATTTCATTATCATTATTTTTTTTCGATATTCGTTATTATCACCTAGAAGTCTATTTGTTTGTTTTATTCTCGATGATCATTAAAACTCTTCTATTTATAACAGAATAGTTGTGCTAACATATCAATTACTTGGACAACTTGACGGGCGAAAATAAATAACTAAATTTTTGGATGGAATGAATGTTTTTTTACGGATGATTATTATATATATATTGATTGAATATTGCGAATTATGTTTATACGAAGTGAATTCAAATGTCTGTGGTAATGGTATCTCCGAATCCTATTATTTTTATAAAGATTGAATCTCTAATTAAACGGTCCCCTCTCTGAGAGCACAAAATCTAAACTTTAAAGTATAATTGTAAAACTATCGCACTGATATTAAATCCGAGTAATGATATAATGTAAATTATAAGGAAAATTACTATCGGATACAAGAACATTTCTGTATGCAGAAGAAAAGGAAGTGCTAATTTCACACAAGAGTAAAACAAATGGATCGTTAATATTTATTCGTCCTTTAGAAATAAACTTTTATATCTTATTCTAGACGTACCGTTGTAACCAAGAAACGTGATGTAACAATAGTAACTTACTGCTATAAAGTACATTGTATTACCCAGGAAAAGACAGATCCAAACGTCCTTCGTTAAGACTCGCATAAGGAAGAATTGTGCTACATAAAGTAGTAGAAACAGTGGAAAAAACGAATTACAATGCACGTCAAATGCGTAAGCCCATTCCACTGTCTGTTCAACAGCATGAATCGTGTGTCTATGCGTTAGAAATCTGTTCGCAAATACCCTTTTTCAAAAGTAATGATGAATTAATGAACTTTTAACCAAAAGTAGAAATAGATGAATTGTATGTATGATCGAATAAATTACCAACAAACCGTTGATATAACCATTCCAACCACCAC